GCTAATATGAGAAAATTAAAGTGCTAACATGTGAAGAAGTGCTGAATAAAAATCGACAAAAATATATATGTTAAGCATACTTCAAACGTTACAAAGAAACCAAATTTACTACTAAAACCAAGCAAGACCCTCAGTAACTCACTTTGTACCAACACTTAAAGTAAAAGTAAGTTTCTTCCTAATATACTGCAACTCTTAAAGCAAAGCATTTACTTAGGCTTAGGATAGGTTAATGACGGAGGCTGTTAGAAAGCTCAAATTTTTTACGAATACCTCTTTGAAACTACATAGAAATAGTTAAACAAAATTTTTTATTTTTTATATGTGAGAATTTGTCAAAGTTCAGTATCCTGCCATGTCAACATTAATGAAGAAACATTTTTTTAACACTTGTATGCAGTCTTTATGCTTTCCACTTCGTTAATAAAAAATTCTTTTATAGGACACGGAAATGTAGTTTACATGAATGCAAGCGTAAATAACGACATTTTTAACAAAATATTGTTTAGTCTAATTTACTGAATTGCAGTCGAACTACGCTTCAATAAATACTTTCCAATAAATGCATTTCATATTATTTACACCAGCATTTTTTGTGTGGTTAATTGTGCTAAAAATTCTTGCCTTGCTTGTTGACTTAATGCATATTCCATTGCACTCGGAACCAAACAATCGCAGAAATAAACTGGTGCATAGCCCTAAAAAGTATGCAACACTTCGCTGCATAATGGAGCAAATGGCACTTTTGTCTTGGCATTGAGCATGACTCTTTGCCTGATTCCATTTGCATTAATTTTAATATTATTTTCCTACGTAGACTGTCAACAGTACTGATGACTTCACAAATATGCGTAATGCATGATGTTCTGTGTCATTGACCTCATAGCCTGGCAGGTGGATGAAATATTTTTGCACTACACAATTTCACTTCTTAGCGCTTAGCTCTCATAAGAAATAACCAGGTGATGAAGCTTAAAGGTTCAGAATAAAAGAGTGGGATTTAATAATCGTGTAAAATGTAATTGTGACATTTACGATGTTATATGTGAACAAAACTCGATTTTTATTAAAAACAATATCAAAGGCGATTAGAATAGACTCGATATAATATATAAAATGTAAAATGGACCAGAACCAGTTAATTGGTTGTGCTACCGCACAGTTCGATTTTATTCTTTTCGCAACATCGCTAGGTGCCACACAATCTCTTTAGATATCGACGTTTGTTCGTCGACCAATTCTAGTGGATTATTTTTTTTTAGAAAAGTACGGCCCTACAAGATGTAGTAGTGCTGTAGTAGTCCTCCCTGGGTCTGTCTTCGGTTGTGTTTATGATTACGCTGGTATATTCTCAGTGTTGTTTTCTGCATTACTTATGCATAAGTAGAAGTCACTTATAAAACAAATTACGGGTTTGAGTGGGCTTATCCTGAGCTTTTTTAGTTCTTCCTTTCACTCCGTGGTTATTGCCAGTTTTACTACCTTAAGGAGTTGGTTTCAACTAATTCAATGTGTTTACGGAATCTCCGCGATACTGTAGAATTCTGTAGAATTGCGCCCGATTGTACGCAATGCTGTAGTCTATAAACTGCAGTAATAAACATTTACTAGTGTAGTAAGTGACTTGAGCTTAATAGTGCACTGGATATATTCCGGCATCTTGATTTGTGGTTTTAATTCCTTGATCTTATTATGTAAAATAGAGCAACAAGATACAATGTTAATGAATGAAATAGCTAAATTCATACCATATAATGCAAAATTAGAGTGAATGGTCGAATTTGAGCTTGAGAATAAAAATGTAGCACTTACATGACAGTTATTTATTGTTTAAAGAAATTTTCATTCTTGTACAAATAATGCTTTATAAATATCTGTAAATACCTAAAATATACCAATTATTATATATTATTTTTAACAAAATCCAAAAATTTATAAGATTTATAATTGGTGTAAACGTTGTGTTTAACACATTTAAAAATATATTAAAAAAAGTATATATCTAAAAATTTGAAATAATTTAACTTTATTGTGAATATCAGCTGAAGAAGAATCACTACATCTATATTAGCCTGGTTAATATCGAAGCTTTCAAATAAATATATATGCATATATAGACATCCTGTTCATATATTGTCTGTCTCTTTTGGTTTTTTTTTTTTGACAATTCAGTTTTATTAAAATAACTGTCCCTTTAAAATTTTTCATAGCTGAGGTAAATATATATTTAAGTAATTTTTTTATTATAAAAAACTTTTAAAAATATCTTTTACAGAAGTTTTCTAAACTCATAAATAAAACGCAATTAAGGCAGGGTTGTTCCGGTAAACAATCATGGAGATTGATGATTTTAAGGAAGATATAGGCATAATAGAGATGAATGAAAATCAACTTCTTTTCGAGATAGAATCGGATGAAGCACAGAATGGATTACAAATGGAAATATCTGACTTGGAAGTTTCAAAAACAGTTTTTGTAGATATTGGGGGTCGTTCTATCAATACTATAAATTGTACAGAAGCAAAACCAATGTTTCCTATTTGTCGCGCATGGTTACAAAATGAAAAAAAATCGCTCAATACCACAAAAGATAATGAAATTCAAATTAAACAGGAGGATAATGGAGAGGAAATGTGTATATCAGCGCCAAAGCAAGGTATCAAGACTGCTGTTCCTCCACCGTATCCACAAAAAGAACTGAGTCGTGCAGATTCGTCAAATGTTAAAGAACTGTTGGAAGAGTTTGTACACCGTGGGAAGAAAGTGAAAAGGGAGTGGATAAAACAAAGATCAATGTATAAAGCACAATTTAAGATTAACGAGCAAATTTTAAAATTTGTCGACAGGAAAGAATCTTTGAAAGAATAAAAAGCATGTCTTGCTTGTAATATATATTCGTGAAGTAAAAGTACATTCCTCTTTTAA